ACTGAAGAAGGTTATAAAGCTCTGGCTTCAGCTCTGAGATCAAACCCTTCACACCTGATAGAGCTGGATCTCACAGGAAATGATCCTGGACAATCAGGAGTGAAGCAGCTCAGTGATTTACTACAGGATCCAAGCTATAATCTAAAACTGAGGTGAAATGTGATGAGATAATACAAAATAAATGACATGCAGGCTAAATATTCATACATAATATTATTTCAGTAATACAATAAGCTTGATTTGGTGCATCTGAGGTACTGTGTTGTTGGTGCCAAATTGTTGTGGTATAAGCTGCAGTACTGTTTAAATAGACATTATGAGCCACTAGATGTGCTGATACTCAGTAGTTTATTAACTTTTTCTGAATGCACTGTAGTTTAATTTCCATCAAGCCCAGATTCTCAACACTGTATCACTCTGCAGCAGATCTATGAGTCTCCAGTTCTTCACAAACATGTGGTGTCTTGAAAGATCTTTTGCTCTTCTGCTCCTCATGACATTAGCACTGTTTCTGTTTTTAGACATCACTGTTTTTTTACATTTGGATGTCAAATAATAATACTATTTTATGTTCAAAGTAAAACAGTAACTAGAGCTTGTCATTAGGAAAAATAATGAATTCTGTTTTATCAACATGTTTTGTAAGGCAATGTGCATTTATTTAAAAATTCAAATGAATCCGGCTTTACCTTTTGCAGGTTTTTGAGAAGTCCTGCTGCAGAAGAAGCCTGTCAGTATGTGACTGGAATTGTGGGTAAAAACCCGTTACTCCTGATAGAGCTGAATCTGAGTGAACGTGAACTAGGAGACACATGAGTGAATCAGATCTCTGCTCTACTGCAGGATAAACACTGTAAACTCAACACACTGATGTGAGTATCTTACATAATTGAATATGTATTTGATAATACCATTTTCTCATTTGTTTGAGCCAGAGGTGTCACAGTGTGAAGTATTAAAATTAAACAGGCCATTAAAAACAAATAATTTTCAAAAAATGACAATTATCTTTAAACAGTAGGCCAAGTCACTTTGATCATGGGTCATTATTAATTATTTCAGATACTGTAGAGAGAGAGCAATGGTTTTCTTACAGAACTTACAAACTCCTCAAAACAAAAATGCTAAATGTTACTGCACGTTTCAGAACACAGCAAATTAATAATGTACCAACAGATCGGCCACCAATCTTTATCGGCTGACGTTCAACCTAATCCTTCAGTCCTGCTTAAATTCAGTGACAGTTTTTATTTTGTATATATTTTTTAATTGCAGCAAGCACACATACAGCACTACTTTAATGAATGAACTCTGGATCAGATTAATCTTTAATGTTTGTTGTTCATGTTAGTTCACAGTGCGTAATGTTAAGAGATACAACTTTTTATTTAAAAAATGCTGTAAAAGTATTGTTCATCATTAGTTCTTGTTAACTAATGTAGTTAACTAAGGAAACCTTACTGTATGTAGCTGGGAACAGCAGACCTAAACACATTTACCCAGTTGAGCAAAAGGAGACATTGACAGAAGAACCAGTCTTAAAATTGACGTGAAGCAAATGCAACAGAAGTAATGCTTTATAACATAAATGCTGTTCGGGAGAATTTCACGTGTGACTTTAAGATTACAAATTACAGTCAGGCAAAAAATCAAAATCCTCCAAAACCTTAGATGATCTTCATAGATCTGATTCATTGTCTTTTCTCTTTCTGTCTTCAGTCTGCGTGGATGCAGTATTACAG